AGGGAAAGACTAAGGTGTCTAGTATTTTATTTCCACGTTATATAAATGTGGGCATGTGGATTATGTGCTAATACATCATTGTTATGGAAAAATATATTGCACATGTATATGAAAAGAGAGATTTAATCCTTTGGGGGGAAGAATGTTTTTGTTTTACTGGTGTAATTTGACATTTGGCTGTCTTTTTCATTTTAATTCTAAACCCTTTAATTAGAATTTATACTTTGATCCTGCATATACTATAGATGGATCTTCAGACAATTTGATCTGTAATGAAGCAATTCTCTTAAAAGTTTTGTCATGTTTACTGATTCTAAAGAGTTAACATAGTTGAATTAAAAGTATGTAGCTAATGAGGGGCTTCCCTGGTGGCGCAGTGGTTGAGTGTCTGCCTGCCGATGCAGGGGACGCGGATTCGTACCCTGGTCCGGGAAGATCCCACATGCCGCGGAGCGGCTGGGCCCATGAGCCACGGCCTCTGAGCCTGCGCGTCCGGAGCCTGTGCTCCGCAACAGGAGAGGCCACAACAGTGAGAGGCCCGCGTACCGCAAAAAAAAAAAAAAAAAAAGTATGTAGCTAATGAATAGCATAGTTCTGACTTTGTGTCAGATTTAGTTTTTAAGCGATCAAGTTGTAAAACATTTAACTCTGCTTGTCATCTAAAATAGAATCTTGTTTATAAGTCACCTAAAGGCCTTCCTCTGTTCTAAAATTACCCTTTTTCTTCAGAAAGGTTTATTTTCCATTATTCTTTGTCCTAGAAGTTGTGGTAATAGTTTAACTATAGTCAGGGTAATATTGTGAAGTAGGTGATTCTGACTTTGGAACTTTCCCATTTTTATTTGCCTTCCTCCTCTCAGCATTCTCATTAAATCTAATCTATATTATGCCGCATTCCCTCAGGGTTAGACAATCTGGTAAACAAATCCACATTAATGTTACTTTTCCAAGAGCTATTTCCATTTCATTTATTAAAACTGCCATTTACTAGCTGTGTGACCTTGGGCAAGTTATCTAATCTCTCTGTGTCAGTTTCCCCCAGTGAAGGGAAATAATATTACCTATCTCTTGGGTTAACATGTGGATTAAAAGAGTTAATAAAGTACTCTGAAAAGTGGCTGGCACATGACAATAGCTAATATTTACTGAGAGTTTACTATTGATGTTATTCAAATATCACGGCAGTTCATTTTAGGGCATGTTCTTTGGCATTCTCAAATCATATTGTATAGATAGATGGTCACCTAATCCTTATCTATAGGGTTGGTTCTGACCCCAGTGGAATCTTTCCATATTGACTGATTCATTCAAAAGACATCTGAGCACCTGCTATGTGCCAGGCATTGTTCTAAGTACTAGAAATACAGCATCAAGTCAAAAATCTCAACCCTCGTGGAAATTATATTCTGATGGGATGAGACACAAATTAAGATAAATGTTGAATGTGATAAATGGTGGTGTATGCTATGAGGAAAAGTTGGCTGAGGGAGGAAAGAGT